GTATGAGCCAATCAGTGGCAGTAATGACAGAGCATGCGCTGTTACGCAAAAACCGCGATAGAGTGAAGCTGCGGAAGTCAAAGCGCGAAGTGGCGTGGGTTCACTGTATAGGGTTGCTGTGAGTTGTAATGAACTCCACGGCAGTGGATATGGTTTAGTTTGGGTAAGTCAATGTACTTAACTTGCTATTCAGTGGTTCTGCTTCTATGCACAAGGCAGTGTATACAAATATAGTCTCACTTCACAGATTAGAAAACTGAGTCATGGTGAGGGTGTCTTTAGTTTACTGCTATTGTCACATAAAAAGGAACCCTGGTGGCATAATGGTTATGAGTTTGGCTGATAAATGGAAGGTCAGCAGTTCAAAACCACCAGCCACCATTTGGGAGAAAGATGGTGCTTTCTACTCCTGTAAAGGGTTACAGTCTCAGAAATTCACAGGAGTAGTTCTACCCTGTCCTATAGGGTTGCTTCCACTCCATAGCAGGGAGCCTTGCTTTGTTTTGATTTGGTGGCACAATGGTTTATGTATTGGACTGCTAAATGCAGTGTCAGCAGTTCAAAACCACCAGGCACGCCACAAGAGAAAGATGAAGCTTTCTGCCTGTGAAGATTCGCAGCCTCAGGAACCCACAGGGGCAGTTCTACTTTGTCCTGTAAGGCTGCTATAAGCCGGAATCGACTCGATAGCAATGAATTTGGAATTTGGGTTTTACTCTGACAGAACACTACTTGGTGACTTTTCATCCCAGATACTTATTTTCTCAGAGTTGAAGATGCTGTAGGTCCAAATTCAGGGCACCAGCTTCAGAAGAATGCGCTGTGTTAACTTGGGGAAGATCCTCATCTCAGCCTGTGTAACCCAAGCATTCTTCGATGCTTTAACAATTGTCTTGTGGCATTTGGCCCCCTCTACCTTTTTGTGCTTGCTTTTCCGTGTTTGAGCTGCTCACTCAGAAATAATTAGGTTCGGAATTCATCCTGCACTGATGGTTGCGTTAAGGGCTGTTGAGTCAGTTCTGACTCATAGCAACACCATTTGTGTGCAATAAAACAAAATACTGCCCTGACCTGCACCATGCTCCCATTGCGATATTTGAGCCTATTATTGCAGCCATTGTGTCAATCCATCTCCTCGACGGACTCTTTTCTGTATGTTTAATGCTTATCTACTTTACCAAGAATGATGTCATGCTCCAAAACAGGTACCTTCTGATACAATGCCCAAAGTATGAGAGACAGCTCATCTTTTGATCTCTTGACTTCTGCTTCCATCAATGTTGATTGTGGATCCAAGCAAGAAAAAAATCCTCGGCAACTTCAACCTTTTCTCCACTTATTATGATGTTATTTGTTGGTCAGTCGTGAGGATTTGGGTCTTCTTTACTGAAGGCTGCAATCCTTGATCTTCATCAGCAGGTCCTTCAATTCCTCCTCACTTTCCGCAAGCAAGGTTGTGGCATCTGCATATTGCAGGTTATTATTAAGCCTACCTCCAATCCTGATGCCATATTCTTCTTATAAGCCAGTTCCTCTGATTATTTGCTCAGCATTCAAATTGAGTAAAAATGATGGGAGGATACGACTTTGTCACACACCATTCCTGTTCCCTTGTTCTGTTCGCGCAACTGCCTCTGATTCATGTATAAGTTCCACACACGCACAATGAATTCAAGAGATCAAAGGCCACACACGGTGCATTAGGTCAATCTGCTCCACAAAACCTCTTTAGAGCCTTGAAAAGCTAGGATATGACTTTGAGGGCTAAGGTGTCCCTGACCTAAGCCACGGTCTTCTCCCCTGCCTCGTACGCTTGTGGAAGTTGGACACAAGAAAACCATAGAATAGACACTTGTAAAGGGTCTTGTGGGGGATGGTTTGAAGTTCCGGCCGGAATGACTCATTTCCGGTCCCCAGCACCCTCCCCGGAAGTGGAACCTGATGTAAACAGCGGAGCCGCGAGCCGGCCGCCGGGGCCCCGAGAGCTCTGTAAGCCGGCCGCGGGCGGCACGGTGGCCCGGAGGCCGAGGGCCGGGGGGTCGGGGACACGCGGGGGCACGGCGAACAATCCTGGACCATGACGCAGCAGTCGCCTCGCGGCGTGACCAGCCTGCGCTTCAACCAAGACCAGAGCTGTTTCTGCTGCGCCACGGCGACGGGCGTGCGCGTCTACAACGTGGAGCCGCTGACGGCCCGGGGGCAGCTGGCCCGCGAGCAGGGAGGCGGCGCGGGCCTGGTGGAGATGCTCCACCGCTCCAATCTGCTGGCCCTGGTGGGCGGCGGGGGCCGCGCCAAGTTCCCGGAGATGTCGGTGGTCATCTGGGACGACGCCCGAGAAGGCCGCGACGCCAAGGACAAGCTGGTGCTGGAGTTCACCTTCCCCCAGCCGGTGCTGGCGGTGCGCATGCGCCACGACAAGATTGTGACGGTGCTGCGACGCCGCATCTACGTGTACTCCTTCCCCGACCGTCCCCGGAAGCTCTTTGAGTTTGACACCCGGGACAACCCCGCGGGGCTCTGTGACCTCTGCCCCGGCCTGGAGAAACAACTGCTCGTGTTCCCGGGACACAGGTGCGGCAGTCTGCAGCTGGTGGACCTGGCGCACGCAAACCCTGGGACTTCGTCCGCGCCGTCTGCCATCCACGCGCATCAGAGCGAGCTAGCCTGCGTGTCCCTGAACCAGCCAGGCACGGTAGTGGCCTCCGCCTCCCAGAAGGGCACCCTTATTCGTCTTTTTGACACA